AACACAAAAGTAAAAATTTAGTACCTGCTTAATCAACAGAAGCTGAACATATAGCTTTATTTGTAGCTATTAAAGAAGAAATTTGGCTAAAATCTTTAGCAACAAGTATTAATATTATTATTGAGGAAGGCACTTCGTGGCGTAATGAATAGAATTACTGTGTGGTCCAAATGTTTACTTTAAACGCGTTTTAAAGTATGATTTGCGTTAATAAAACCTTCCGAGTTTGTTCTTCTTAAAAGAAAGAGAAATTAAATATTTATATAATATCAAAATTAACAAACTACTGTTTTGCCCCATGCCTTTCAGATTTTGTTCATTTTTTACTCACACTAATAATTCTCCGCTGAGAACTATGTTTATTTTCCAAGGTCATTTATAACAGTTTTGTATAAAATTTAATGGATAATATAAAAGTATATCACATTTTTTCGTGGAAGTTATGGTTTACGAGTAAAACGCCGAAAAGTTTCGCGGGGTCACTTTTGGGGTCACTTTTTTCCAGAGGTCGGAACCCTTCGAATCTATATTTGGGTTCTTACTTCTTCTAAAAAGTATTACTTTCCTACACTACTTACAGAAGACACTCACAAATCGTTCTTTTCAGGAAAATTTTGTTGACCACTTAATTCCTTCAAGTGTTTTACTTCAATCGCTTCGATTATTTTCACTCGAGACCGATTTAACTTCTTCGTCTGGCGGTTCGACAACTTGGTGGCCAAAAGATATACGATCCCCAGTAAACGGGATGCATTTGTACATTCATCGCGGCACGAAAGAGCAGCATGTATTAAAAGTCGGGCGCAATTTGCTAAAAGGTTTCTCGGTCTGCCGGCCAAAGTGGGGTTTGCCGCTTAACTTAACAACTGATTCGATGCCATGTTTATATGTATGAACCGTAGTCGAGGGAAGAATGTTTTTTAATATCCAATTCGGCTTTTATCTCGTTTTATCGTCGGCTAGGAGCGAACGCCAATCGATTTGTGGTAATTTACCGTTACGGTCCGCTACTTTTTTATGTAAATGAAACTGATTATCGTAATGGTGATTGCCTTGTTTCGGGGGAACGTCAACGACGGAAATGGCACCGTCATCTAGGGAATTTTATAGATATATTTCTCTTATTTTCGTTTCCCAAGTATGTAAAAACATATACAGCAAATCCTCCTTTCGCGTTTTCGAGTTCGAGCGTTATTGAAATTTTATCATTTTTAAAACTTTTCCCCGATTCCTATATTGCATTTCTTTTCGAACTTCTCAAATTGTACACTACTCAAAAAAAGTATCGCATAATGTATTTCTCAAGCCTTAGCCATTTCCGTGTTTGAGGATTGTATACATTGTTAAACGGTTTTTGTCAATTTAATATTTTTCAACCATCCTATAAATTTCTGAGGTATCATAGGTAAATAAACTGGCTAAAACAACTAACATGTTAATTATAAAGTGAAAAGCAAAACTGAAAACAAACTTTATTTGTGAAATAAAATATTACGGTAATAATTTAATATTCTTGCTCTCATACGGTTTTGTATATAAAAATCAGCCAAAATTGGTCCATTCTTCAACTACAACAGGTAGTAGTAGATGGTCCCAGATGTGCTCTGCAGGATTCTTTTAGGTATTCAGACAACCTCTTCTAGGTATCCTAGGTACCCATCTTCAATACATGCTCTACGACGGTAAAAATTCATGCGTCGCAGGCTTGAAGGATTCCAGTCGGAGTTCAACGAGCGAACGGATGATATCCCGGAATATAGTGTCATCATATATATATATATATATATATATATATATATATATATATATATATATATATATATATATATATATATATATATATATATATATATATATATATATATATATATATATATATATATATATATATATATATATATATATATATATATATATATATATATATATATATATATATATATATATATATATATATATATATATATATATATATATATATATATATATATATATATATATATATATATATAAAACGTCCTCCGACGTCGTCCGATTCCCAATCTCCATCGATTTCTGTCCTTCCATAGGTCCTCGTCCAGTCATCTCCATTGTATTTCACTATACCAGCATTAGACAGACACCTGAACTTGTTACTTAGAAACGATTTATGGAAATTTGTTGGAAGAACTGACCGATGAATTAGCATATTTGTGGATGATGGTGTAGAACTTGGTGGTTCGATATCCCAGTTGGAAGTTAAAAACATAACGCTAATTAAATACTTTACGAACGTCCCATGCAATAGTTTTTGTAGACAAGTTTACTCTGTAATATACAGGGGCGCTCAACATGTGCGATTTTACCGGTGGAATTAAAAAGAATAAAAATTTCATTTTTTCAAACAGAGCAAGTTTCTGTTTGTCCCTGGGGATTACTTGATATATTTGAAATTTTACAGGTAATAGGTTATATTATTGATAAGCTACATAGTCTTAAGGCTCTTAGAAACATTTTTTTAACTAATGTATCGCCGATATCTTCTTTTCGGATAATAGAAAAAATGAAAATGTTAAATTATTCGATTCCCTAAAGTCATAATTTCACTAAAATTTTTGTGATAAATCGGTTAAATTGTAAAACGCCATTTTTAAATAAAGATTTGTTGGATTTTAAACTGGGGCCATTTTATAGGATAAAACATGTTTTATCAAATAACAAAGGTGGCGTAAAATTAAAATGTCGTTGATTCCTACTGCAAACATATATACCTATACCTAAATCATCTATAAAATTTGTTACAACCTGCAATTTTTACATTTTAGTCGGGTAGCGCGAAATTTCTAAGGTAACCTTTTTTCTAATAGGTGGATAGGTCGGGTTGGACCCGTTCATTAGCCAACCTAGCGATCTTAAGCAGTGCGATTTTTTTGTGAAGTTTTGCCTAATTAATGCGGCGTATGTAAAATACCGATGCTACCGTCATGGCAATGCCAAATTTTTTGTACCCAATTACAGAGACAACTGCGACCACTTTTTGTAATGGGTTTGTAATGTACAGTTCGGTGCTAAACATTTTATGAAAGTAGAAAGACTCGAAAGATAGTTAGACTGATTTATCTAGGTTCATCTTTTGTTAGTTTCTCTAGTGGCTGCTTGGGGTACTTGGTTGCCTTTAGTTTGGATTACGTCCAGCAGTAGCACTGTTCATATTTTCTTCCCTTCTTGGCAAAATCTGCATTCAGTGGTCACTACGAGATGCTTTTTAAGCTGGGAGTCGGCGGTCAGTTGACGCAGTATTATTTTTATAGTCTTTTCTTTGTGGCTTAGTAAACCTGCTATACATTTGACCGATGGACCTCCGCAGGAAATCCTTGGCAGTTTTTGTCGACATGTGTTCAAATAATTTTTAAAAAAATGTCTCTCCAGCGTTTCCGGGATTCTCGTTCCACCTGTTTTTTGATGGCTGATTTTGCAATGGCTCCAATCATGCTCTTTGACAACTCCTCTCGGGCCCCGATATATATGCCAACGGCACTTTATTCTGATTTGATATCTCGTTTCATGCTTTATGACAATGCTAAACTAACTCGGATGTAATTTGCTGGATTACATATATTTCATCGCCACTTGACTGTCGGTGTAGATCAAAATTGTTTTATTGCTTGTTTCTCTTGCTTATAATTTGGGTAAAAAGCGATAAAGAAAATAAAAGTACTTAAAAACTCATATAATTTATTTACGTATGTATACCATTTACAATTTTTTTTCCTGCGACAACTTAAAAGCTATATCTCTGCATTAGGAACTTGGAGCTGTGTACAAATCAGGCCAAACGTGCATACACAAAACGAATGAGGTAGTCGTTTCTATAGAACAACGAAAATACGTCAACCCAAAATTATATTATTAACATTATCTGAGATCCATTTACTTAACAGCTACTTATATATGTACAATATATTTACATGCCTCGAATACATCGGTAACGAACTATCTAATTAATTTGCTTTGTGTTGTTTATATACATCGCACGTACGGCATATTTGGTTGGGTAACGATATACAAGATGGCCCAACGGATTGTTCGCTCAAATTAAAAAAAAAAACAATAAAACTGAAAAAAATTTTGTAAGTCTAAAAATTATAAGTAGAATACAGGGTGGGTCCAAATATCTGAAAATTGTTTTAGCTTTTTTAAAAGCCGACTTTAATATGTACAAGGTGGGCCAAATAGGACACTTTTAAAGGAAAACGTTTCTATAGGAAGCCAAAGCTAATGTCGGTGCCTGGAGCTCAATTAATAGTAAAAAGGGCACGTGGGTCATGCGTACTAGTACCATTTCAGAATTATTGGATGTTTTTGGAAAATGTGCCTTTATAAGAAACCGATGTAACTTTTTATTATGGAAAACTTTGTGGTATATATTTGCAGTATATTTTTAAATAATCGAGAAGTAACTGAAATTACCTTTCCAAAAATATAGCATATTTGAAATTTTGCTCTAGAGTTTTGAAGAAGTGGGCTTTGGCCGCCACAATATCGGAAACAAATGCTTACGCTAGACAGCAAGCAATTTGTATTCTGCCCTATATCCATAAAGAGAAGAGAAGAAGCAGAAGAGAAGAAGTGGCCAATAAGTGATGCATAAACTTCCCATGAGTTACAAGAATATAATTTTAGGAGCCCTTCAAAATAATTTTACAATGTGAACATGAAAGCTAAAGATACCAACAGGACTATCAAGAACTACCGTTTCGCAGAGTACCAGAAAAGTGCAATGGTGTAAGTAGTGCTAAGAAAAATGTAACCGAGTACGCTGTTAACGCAGATTCTTACTTGTTCAAAGTTTAAAACTTCTATTTTTTCCAAGAATACTCTAGCCAAATATCAATATCAATATTCTATATTTTTGAAAATATAATTTTAAGATCTTTTCATTGATTTAAAAATAAATAAATAATATATTAGTATTCAAAATCATAATTTTCTGCGTAAGAAAATGCTGATAACTTTCCATAACCAAGAAGTTACAGCTTTTAGCTGTCAAACAATTCTTTTCTGTTAGAAAGGGCATCACAAACCGTCGTTCCAATATGCAGATTCGCAGCTTACTGCGATTTTTTATATTCAAAATTTTTAATATGATAAATGTGACAAAGCAGGTTTCAGCAGGATCTTGCACCCCCATATGATCAAAAACCATACATAATAATCCTGAACTGAACTGACTGAACTGACTGAAGTATTTGTTTGAGTGGGTTCTGAAAGTTTCTATGTCGTAAGATTTTATATAAAACAATATAAACAGATAGCAGTAAGCTTTTTAAGCATTTTGACAGTCAAATGCAGCACACTGTAAATTTTTGACTATATTGATGATGATCACATGTTTGCTAGTTCCAAAAAGACCGTTTTCCTAGCTTTTCGGACCACCCTGTATACTACCCGAAGCCTTTGTTTGCATTTAAATAAAGAATAATAATGGGTACTAAATTGTTTTCGATTAAACTGCAAACAACAGACGAATTTGTCATAAAGCTTCCCAATAACAACGTTGCCATAACGAATAAATTTTAAACAACGTACGGTCGATAGAGAGACTCGTTTTCTGGTAACCGTTTGGAGTCGTTCGAGTTCGTTTCAACCACGGAGATAGCGCTATCGGAGCTTTCGGCATTAGATGCTGACGACGACGACGCTTTGAACGCGGTTTGGGATGAATGGTTGGCAGAAGACGATTTGCCGCTGTCCGTGTCTTTGGACGACTTCGCCTCGTGCTGCGCCTTTTTGCTCCGCTTCCACTTCATCCGTCGGTTCTGGAACCAGATTTTCACCTAGAATAAAAAACGGGTTGCTGGAGGAATCAGATCTTTAATACGTGGCATACACGCTTCCTTACAGTTATTTATGTGTATTTGCTGGAAAAGAACAAACATAGCAATAAGTTAGATCGAATATTACCCATGCTAATAACATAGTTAGTTATACTTTGTTTCGACTCGCACCTGTGTTTTCCCAGTAACAATAGGTATGAAGGTCGTAATTATTTTATGGTGGAGATGCGCCAAAAGCCAAAACAATATATTTTGACAATATATTTTACGTTTCATAAAATATGTAAATTGTCTTTGGTTTGACTATTTTTATTGTAGAGCGCAAAACAACGTTAGGTGAGATATTTATTTATTGTATGTCTTACAAACATTCTAACACCAACAGTTTTCTTATAAAACTATAAAAACTGTTATAAAACCTAAGGTTTCTATGAGATAGTCATTTTTTATAAATATTATCAGTGAAAGAAGATATTTTTGATTCATGCAAGTCCTATCGAACACATTAGGAAAGTTTATTTGGAAATCTGTGTGTTTTCGTTTCTGGACCTATATTGGACGCATTTTTAACCTGCAAAGTTTAATTCCACCTCCTTTATACCGCTTTTGCCCGGAAATATTTCTTAGTCCCGGAACCCGTGCTCGACCCTACACGCATCCGGATTAATTTTTTTGCGTCTCGGGCAACTAAAACCGAAAGTGACTGGAACGAATGTCGAAAAAAGTTGTTTGCCTTTTCCATGGTTTCCAGTAATCTGACTAAAAATTGTTTTCTTGCTCGTAAGAGTTATGGCCCGCGCTAAACACAAAATCAAACAAACTGACGGGCGGCAGTAAGTCAGGATTTCGGCGGATATTCGATGCCCTAGCACAACAACGTATCCATCACCTTAACCGGATTTTTCGTCCTTTTGAACGGTATCTGATGCGCATTCTTGCCGTCTCTATTTTAATATTTCATATAAAACATGTCGAAAACATAGAAATGTCGAAATGTTTAAGTAAGAACAACTAAGTTCATTTCGCTTTGGTCGACTAATTAATGGCAGATGGCAATTTTTTGAGAAAACCGTAGCTGCAATTTCACTGAGGTGCAATCACATTAAAGTAAAGACAATACACTCATGAATCTTATTTCTAATTGGAATGGTAGTTAAGCAATAAGTAAACATATAGAGTATTTAAAATATTGTTTACTACAAATAAGACGTCTGATGTTGTTAAGCAATTTCTCTTTTTACGATAACTAACTAAGTAAAAAAAATAATAAAACTTTTAAGATTATAATTATTTTTGCTTGGTATGTATTTAAAATATCTCAAAAAATAAGCATTTGCTTATCTATGTTAATATGAACTTGTTGTTTTAGTTTATTACTGCAGCCAAAGTAGACCAAAAAAAGTAGTATCTAATATTTCATTATTGTTTAGTATCATTTTAAATAATTTTTAATTTTAATTCTACAGTGTTAGAAAATACATTTTTTTAAATAATATTCCTGTAGGGTATTTTGGTATTTTATGGTTTAAAAATACATTTCGTAGATACGACTTTGATGGTCTAAAAAAAACTCCATTTCGGAAAAATCGTTGATTAACTCCATCCATTTTTTTGTAAATGCAATATTAAATCTAAGTATGATTAATGTGCTGCATCTTATGAAATAAATTAATACCTGACATAAATATGTGTTTGTTTCTAATCGTATATTGAGTTAAAAAGCAATACAAATTTTTCGCAAGTACATTGAGGAACAAGCAATTTGTACAAAAAACAACCGAAATGCAATTTCAATTCGTTCATGTAATGTTCATGAGGTTTATTATATATAATATATTTATTAATATAATATATGAGCGTACAAACAGACGAAGAATTTATTTAAGAAAGGGTTTTTTAAAAATTTTACATTCATTAAGATTATGAATAAATATTTATATAAATTGAATGGCTGAAATTTCTTAATTAATCGATTAGTTCGTGTCAATAATATAAATATATTAATATTATTTATAGCAACAGGTGCTTATTCATTATACCAAAGAACCATAGACTTACTTAGCTGTTTTAATAACTGGCTAAGTATCTTTGTTTTTATATAAATTTCTAAATACATTTTCGGTTAGAATTCTGAAAGGGATGCTTCTGTCCCATTTCTGTCATTCGCACCCAATAGAATAAATTTCTCTTTAGGGAGGAAATGTTTCACAGTTTTCAAGAATATTTGCCCAGAATATTTCAATTCCCCAAAATTCAAGAATAGGGGCGTGATTTCTGATTTGCGATCCATATGATGCTTAAGAAAATAAATAAAAATATGGCATGACAAATTGGTTAAGGCTTTCGTGGCCAGTTGATGAATCTTGATTCGAGTATAACGTTAGGACACAATTCCAACGACGACGGCTCTTAAACGCGAATCAGGACAACAGTTCAAAAACCTTGTTTACAAAAACTAGACGACTGACGTTTGTAAGCAATTTATTTTTATTTTTAAGAGACTTGAAGTGATTTGAGGATTTGCGGCATAACCAATGTCCTCATGTCAAATTTAGTGAAGCGCAGTTGCCGAAGTTTTCTGTAACTTAAGATTAAGCATTTAAATTGATGTGTTTGCTTTATCCTGCACATTTTAGTTTATTATTGTATCCCAGTTACATCAATCAACGAAAGTAGTATCTATAAATGCCTTATCTTTGAGTAGTCTTTTCAATTGATTTCTTGTCCTGTTCGAATTCTTGTCAACAATTGCTATGGAGTTTTTTGATACAAATTCAAAGTATATTGAACCTCCAAAACCATCAAGGTCATCCTCAAATTTTAAAGTGTTAGAAGATGTATAATTTTTTTACATTCTTGATGAAGGGTGGGGAGGGGAGAAAATACTAAATACCATTATTACGATACCACTACCGTATGGTTATGGGTTATATTATTTTTGATCATTCACTTTGCTGATTTAAACAATACCTCAATTTTTAGAATATCGTAGGTTAACTCATGGTTGTATAACGCCCTTCAATTGTTTAGTCAGCCCAAAGTTAAATCGCCATGTTAAATTTGAAAACTTGACAGTTCAATAAGGAAACTTTTAGCCCCCAATCCAGAATCTTATCAAATAAATTAATACTTGACTTGAATTACAAATGTGTCCGAAAAAAAGTTTTCAAAATAAATTAGAAGTTTGCGAATTGTCAGTGTTATATGTATTTGTGCTTTGCACAGTCTACATTCACACTTGACAAGAATGGGTATTTTCGACGTCTATGATATTTAATTCAGGCTGAGTGTAACAACGATAGTGCTTTTATGTATCTCTGCAAAAAACAGGAAATTTTTAAACTAACCAAAACTTATTCAGTGATTTAATAAGAGAGTGAATAATATCAATTGCTGCCATTAATAGCTAACAATCGATATAAATATTTGTGCAGCATTGAAAACTTACAAGTGGGAAATGTATATTTTAATATGTGTTATTAATTAATTACACTTATTGTAAACTGCATTATCTACCTGTGTTTCGGTCAACATCAAATTGGTTGCCACTTCGAATCTTTTAGGCCTGGAAAGGTATTTGTTTTGTCTGAATTGTTTTTCCAATTCTAGAAGTTGTTGGGAGGTAAAAGCTGTCCGAGGTCTTCTAGTTTTTCCGAGTAGGGCGTGTCCACCCGGCCCACAACCTGAAAATAATAGAGTTGAAATCAGTTTAAATGTTTTAAATTCATAACTTTTGTATAATTCACCACTCAGATTAGGAGATGTAAGGCCTCCCATTTCATTAGAATATGTAAATCGGGAAAAAAATTGCACTACGAGAACTGGCCTCAACGTTGAAAATTCTGTTGCAAATGTAGCAGGTCTTAGTTTTTATAAGGTATGTTTGATAGCTACTCCTTTGCGGTATAAATTTTCTGTTTTTTGACTTAATACGAGTTGGCCAAAACCATGGTTGAAGGGAACTCAAAAAAGGAATAGTTACACTTGAGCCGAACTAAAACTTTCGTCGACCAAACATAACTGGGAGATCACCGAACGCGTGAGATCGAGGAAAAAACAAAAACATTCCATAAGGATTACCCCACAGGGCATCGTAGTGTGGGGTTGTATGTCCGGAGAAAGGTTGGGTATTTTACATTTTATTGAAGGCACAGTAAATACATATCAAGATATCCTTCAACATTCGCTTTCAACAAGTGCAGCAAAGTTTTAACCACCCAGAGATCTTATCTTACAATAGAAAGCAGCCACATGCCATAAGAGGCTAAATCTGCTAAAAACTTGATGGAATAAAGTGACATTAAAGCTTTTTCACATCCCTCTAGCAGCCCAGATCTTAATCTTTTGGCACAAAGTGCCTAAGAAATGACCCTCAGCGTACTTTGTTACAACTACGTGCTAAATTGCAAGAAATATGCAACAGTTGCAGCCCTCAATGCTGTGAAGGCCTATTTGGTACAATGCTTAATAGAGTTCAGGCTGTTACTCGAGCTAAGGACGACGTCACCGCTTATTAATTTTTATTTTTATTTTGTTAAAAACCACTTGTTCAAATATTTAGTTGGCATTTTTTGATTATTAAACAATTAGTCCATAGTAATCAACATAAAATGTACAATTAAACAGTAAAAATAATTCCACGCATTAAAACAAGTTATTAAAAAATTTCAGTAAACTGGCATTTGATTCGCAACTAGAGCTCCGTATTACGGTATAATTTTCCAAAAATGTTAGGCAACTAGTAAACAGTATTTCAAATTCAAAAGAGATCCTTTTATTTATCCTTGTGAAAGTTTTCGGTTCGATTATTTTGATATCGTTGTATATACAACCAAGGTTCCAATTTGCCTTTTATTTTAAGTTTGCCAAAAAAGATCTAAAAATTTGCAGAGTAAACAAATTAAATTTATACTTACAACATTTAACGTTATTTTTACATAAAAAATGGTCATGTTTAAATATATTTATGTGTTCTCATAGCACTTATTTTTACAATATAATAATGGCGCCGCCTCATAGTGGTGAAAGTTTTCATATCGCAGCCCACCTTTGATCTCCAAATTTTAAAACTTGTTTCCAATACCAAGTCAAGTAGGAATCGAATAAAAATAGTTTGTTAATATTTTTTTATTGGGCAAAAATTGAATCAAGTTATACATATGTGAAAGATTCCACTTTAACACCCAAAGTATTTGTATACTCGTAGTATCGAAGCCCTGTATCGCCAAGAAAAGCATCTGAAGGTGAGACAACTTTATAAGCGTAGTGTAGCGGACAAAGTGATTTCGTTGGTTTCACCTGAAACCTGAAACCTGAAAAAACAATCTGCGTATTTTTCGAAAAGAAGAAAAAACGGCGAAAAGGAGCAAGACAAAGTAAAACACTGATACTAATTTAATATATATATAATGTTTTCTGTACCAATGCACCCCCAAAATGGGGGGGCCTATCGAGCACGTCGGCGCACTCACGGGCTAATGATGGCAATTTATAAGCATCCCGCTCAGCGATCGCCATATATCTCGGCAGGCAATCGGCCGGAATCACGGGAGAGCTTTAAAACATTCTACTGATCGGTTCGCCCGCCTGATTTACAGCTCGCCGCCATTATACCAAACTTCTTTTGTGTTTGTTGTTTCCGTCGCTCGGACCACGCAAGATGGCCGCCTTCTCGCAAATCGTTGTCTGGGTTTATTTATGCCAACTGAATTTTCCTCTGCAATTATTATTCACTTCATATTTCAGAGAGTGATATGTGTACACTTCGCATCAAAATTAAAGCATCACTAAAATTTGTTTGTCCCCATTCTGTGCAAATTCTGGTTAACACTATTAGGGGTCTGTCTAAATCATTGCTTATCCTCTGAGCATTTATTATTTTGGTTTATTCATTAAATGAAATACGGAATTTAATGTGAAATAACTGTAGTTTATTACAAAAAAAAATCCACATCGTAAGCATTAAACAAATAAAAATCCAGCATCACAGCTTGTTTATCAGGCTTCACGGAAATTTTGAAGAAAGGAGTATATTACGTACAGAAGCTTCAAGCTTTTTTAATAAGAACTTTCGAAGGGGGATGATTTTTTCATTGACATGAAGTAATTTTCACTTTATTTTTTTATTTAGTAACTGTAAGTAAGACAAAATAGTTTCTAATAAACCCTTATATTGAACTTTATTTTTTTCCAAGTCTTTGCTAAATTTGTCTAATTCAATCCCCTCCATTCATTTTTAAAAAATATCTAAAGAGTGTGCTTTTATAATAGTAAACTTCATTACATCATTTTTCCGCCATATTTCTAGCACGATATCTTCCTAATGGTTGCCTTTTGACTCAACATTTATATAATCAACTACCCTGTATTTTAAACAATTAGTCAAACCCTAAGTTTTTCGCATTTGTCTTGAAAATTCCTGTGGTTAGATAGATAGATACTTTTTGAATTATTATTCGAAATCGAATTTATTTCGGGATTTTAATATGGAACAGCAAAAGAAAGTTTATTACATTTATTTATTTTTAGGTTATGATTGACATGTTTTATTTTAGTTTTTTAGGAATCATTTTGAAATTTGAAAGTGTGCACAATCAAGACTTCTTTTCCATTTCATACAGACTTAAATATAACTTAACTTTAATAGTATTTTATGGAACAAGTGGGTAAACGGCATTTGACTCGCGAGTTTATTTTACACGAGCGGAGCGAGTGTTTAATAAGCAAGGGACTTAAAAAGTTTACCGAACGTGTTGCATACTATACTTTTTCTACGACCGTTAGTTTTTGGCCGTCAGAATTGACAAACGTCAAATTCAAGGCGTGGGAAATATCTCCGAAATCATCCGAATGCTCCCAAACCAGTGCATTAAAATCCCGGAAATGTCCGAAGTGGCTCGGATTCGTGGGAAATAAAGCTGACGTGGTAAAGTGATGCTTCCCGCACGCTAGATCCGTAGGTAATTAGGTATTTTACAGACGGGAGTAGAACAAGGAATTTACTTTGTATTTTGTTCGTTTTGGAAAAATTTTAACTTGGAAGGCCCAGGGGAATAGAGAAGTAAACTATCCTTGCCTTATGGAGTAGAAAAACAGTAATTAGTGTAATAGAAGCCTAGGGTAAATATTTTTTCAATAGATTTTCAAGAGATTAATAAAAGCCGAACAGGAGTCAGTAGTTTTGGTTAGTTTGTATAATTGAATATTTTTCAAAGAAACTTCCACAGGCTACTGTAATGCTTTTTACAAAACTTCTGGATTCCTCCTCCGTCGGTTTTTGCTGAGTCGAACTTGCTAATGTTACGCCAATCATCCTGTTCGGTTCTTCAGAGTTTGACTGAAACTGGCTCGCATTTTACTCTGTACCTGCTTATATATTGTTTGAGGGGGCGGAGCTAAATGAGGGACAGTAACACCGTCTCTGAGGACTGATTCCCATGTTGGTGACAGGTCAAGACCTGAGTGGTGGTTAAGATTGTTGTGTTGTTTATAAATTTCTATAGATTCTAGGATTTTTCGTTGGTAGAAAAGTTGATTACATGCAAGAATTTTAGTTTTGCCGCATAAAATTTTATGTCCGGTTTCGTGATTGTGTTCGGTTACTGCTGATGTGTTTATTTGTCTTAGTCCTACAGCCCTTTCATGTTTCTTGAGGCTAGTTGATATTTCTTGTTCGGTTTCTGCAATGTATTCTTTGCCGTATATGCATGGAATGCTGTAAACTCCTGGTATCTCAAACGCAATTTTGTCTTTGACGGATCCAAGATGTTGAGAGAGTTTTGGGCATGTGGTAAATCTGGTTTTGACGTTATATTTCTTTAGAACTTTTGATATGTGGTCAGTGATGTTTTGAAAATAAGGAAGGACAGTAGTGGCCAGTGTAGGATTGCTTTTTGTGATGCAACGGTTAATATCTTTAATGTGGAAATTAAGGTAAGGTGTTTTAATTCTGGGTTCAGTGACTCGGGCTGAGATAGTTTTGCGGCTCTATAAAGAAGAAAGTTGATAACCGATGATTTTTGGAATGGATGGTGATGTGACAATGCATTAAGGTATCGGTCTGTGTCCGTAGGTTTTCTGTAAACACAATGACCCAATGTTAGGTCTGATTTTCTATTGATAAGAATATCTAAGAATGGGAGGTTATTACTAAACGTAAACGTAAAACGTATGTTAGGGTGTATGGAGTTTAAATGTCTAAGAAAATCTACTAGGGATTCTTGACCACGAGGCCAAATAACAAAATTATCATCTAGGTAGCGTTTCCATAATTTTAGTTTTAGATAGAAGGTGTCGAGAGCCTCTTTGTTAAAGGCTTCCATAAATATATTCGCGATGACTGGTGACTGTGGAGAACCCATTGCTTGTTCAAAAATTTATATTTTTATATAGTTATAAGAAAAAAATATGTTCCAGACAAGCATTTTTCAATTAGGGTGGGAATGTTTGCTTCCGAGAATCTGGACGTTTGATAAGAAGTATAATGGGGACAAGTTGGCCATGGAGAGGAAATTCAAATTTATCCGTCTTCCACCCTATCACTGTAATTTTAATCCGATAGAATCGATATGGAGATAGCTGAAACCCAATTTAAGAAGAAACAACACCTCGCCGAAATTTAGTTTTGGGACAATAAAATTAATTAGAAGTGAAGTAGAAAAAATATCTGCTTCTAGTTAAAAAA